ATATATATATATATATATATATATGTATACATTCATAAATATATATATATATATACATAATATATATATATATGTATGTATACATATATATATATATATATATATATATATATATATATATATATATATACATATATATATATATATATATATATATATATATATATATATATATATATATATATATATATATATATATATATATATATATATATATATATATATATATATACATTACGTATAACAACTTGTTCTACATAATATAACAAGTTGTTATGCGTAATATAGTTGTTAAACATAATTAAGTTGTCTAAAAGTAATATACTTGCATGTGGTCATATGAGACAAAAAACCGCACGCCTCTCCTGGAAAAGCTTGATATATATATATATATATATATATATATATATATATATATATATATATATATATATATATATATATATATATATATATATATATATATATATAACACTTAATGTGACAATAAGGCGACAGTGTATATTTTGTAGTTTTAAGGCGACAGTTTTTTTTTTGTTTTTTTTTGCATAAACAATAATTATATTTAATAAATATAAGCTACAATACTAAAAAATCGTTTTTTTTATTTGTAATATTAAATGTTTGTTGAAATAATAATGTTACTTTAAAAACTGTCGCCTTTACGTTTTACAAACACTATTTGTATAATAGGGCGACAATTACACGTCGCCCTATTATACAAAATTTTCATATTAGTAAAATCGCTATATATTCATTGAAACTTTTTGAAAATTCGAATTTCGATTTTTTGTATATTATCTTATTAAAATTACAGCATTACAGAATTACATTTTTTGAGAATTATCTAAAACATTAAAACATTTTAATTTATTAGTATGAAATGAGTTATGGTGTTAAAAGCTTAAGATTGCCTAATAAAAACTTCTAATTTAAAACAGTATTAAAGACATTTTTAAAGGCATTAAAGGCATAGGCAGTATTAAAGGCATTAGATAAATATTAAACAAACTCTACAAATGCGTGATCAGTTGGAAGTTTTTTTTTTTTTGTTTACTTTACAACATATTGCTTTTAGTTAAATGATTATACAGACTATTGTACATTATATGTTCAAGCAATTAGAAAAAACAATATAAGATAGATATATTTTGAAGAATCTCATTTCCAGTCTGAAAAATTGGAGTGACTCGAACAATTTTCATTATATCCAGAACTATACCTGATCTAAGTGGTAAATTGAAAATATGAAATAAGTATGGTTCTATTATATTATAGGCTAACTTTAATATATGAAAGCTAAATGTACCCGATCCTGCACTTTTATTATTTTTCTGACTTAGTAATGCATTACATAACTGATTATGAACAAATAAATCAAAATTATATCTAGTTTTGATTCATTCGTTTTTATATTAGTAGTTATTAGATAAGAATTCGATGTTAGAGAAGATTGAGGAAAATTTCTTGCCAAATTACAGTTATCATTAACAAAGAAAACTCTAGCCATTAGCATACTATTATAAATTAAATCAATCACCAAGTTAAACGTCAATTAAATCTTTTTTTAAAACGTAACGTTTATATTTGTTTCGAATAATTATGTTTTTAATTGCATTCCATTTTTGTTGGGTATTCGTTTCGTTATTTTTTCTTAACAACTTTAAATAATTTAAATTTTTTGAGTACTTTTTCATTTTTACGAATATTTTTTCAATATTTATTCAAATAATTTTATATATTTTATATTTTGTTTTATTTAAATAAGTTATAATTTTTAGAAATTTTTCATAAAGCCGATTTTCGAGTCAATTTTAGAATACATTCTGTTTTCCAAGGCAATAGAAATGAATTGAATATATAACAACTTTTATACTTTAGTTTGCTTTATTATATTGGTCTCAAAATTGCACTTGAAAAGGTTCATATGCGTCACGTGACTCATGATCAAGCTCTAAATAAACGCTGTTGCGATGTCGTGTTGTGTCGAGAAAAATTAGTAATGAGTAGAGTAAAAAAACATTTTGTGATCCTAGTAGGTTTTCTATAATGATCCTAGGCTGGTTTTCTATAAATATCATTGAAAATAATTTTTTTAGAATTTTGGTTATAAGTTTCAACGCACAATGTCACAATTTTTTTAATTAACACTTAGGTTATTGCGTGGTATAAAATTAGTGGAATTTATAATAAAAATATAAACACCTCTACCAGTATCATATTGGTAAAGGTGTTTGTATTTTTATATAAATTACTAACTACATATCAATTATTCACCAACCGCGAAACATTCATACTGTATGGATGTTTCGCGGTTGTTTTATTCATACGTATTTTAATAGTTCAATTGGTAAAGTCGTGTTTACGTCATGTTTCTGTAAAAAAAAATATTATCAAAACCAGGGGCAAATTAAAAAGGGGCTGTGTGTGTGGGAGGGGGGGGAGGTAAGGCTTTTTTAACACCTACCTCCAGAGGAAACTATTTTCAACTTATAGTCGGTGTTTTACGGAATATTGTCAGCTAGTTTACCTTCCGGCCTTAATTTTTCTCCAAAAATCTCTCGATTGTCAATTTGTGCAGGTTTTTAAACTTGCTATCATAGTAAGTGGAAACCATGTAAAAATAACTATAAAATTTTAATAAATTAATCAATGTCGAAAGTTTTCTGTGAGTGGTTTTTATCGATACAGTAGTTTCGCGCTAAACTTGTATTTGCTTTATAAAAAAACAAGTGGGTCATACCTCAACCTCCCATTTTTTAATAATATCTTGAGATTTTTCACACTGATAAAATAACATCAAATTGATATTTGT